TTGTAATTGCTTGCAGATTTTACTGCATTTGCTTGCAATTTTCTTTTCGAAAGCAAGTTTCATGCTTTCTCTTATTCAGGTTCTCGGGCAAAAAGATATTAGATGATCCAGCGATGCACACGCACAACAACACAAAACACATTTATCACAAGGTTTCTAGCGGCTGTATTCCACGCTAAAGTCATGCAAACGACACGCACATAAATAAGCAAATAATTACATATTTCTGATGCACCTCACAGACAGCCAATCTATCTTCTCTGCCGTAATTAGCGTGGCGACTCAGGGAGGAAAGACTCATTTAGCGGAGGCTGTTAGCTGGTTCCTCTAAGCAGATGGAAGCGACCAGGTCTCAGTGCACAGGAGGGGCTTCTAATCACTCAAATCTGATGTAGCTTCACACAACATATGCTTCCCAAAGCATCGGCAGAGAGCAGACATCTCCCTCCAGCGCTCCTGCAGAAGTGCTAATGACTCTGACCTGACTCAGATTCATGGACCGGCTTACTGGTCGCGTCACTGCACCGTTAGCATCACCGCCAGCCATCTTGGCAGTAAATGATAAGATAATTAGCAGCGAATGTGAAAAATGCAGGGTACGATAACTGATGTTTGAGTGTGAGTTTTGGTCCTTCTGTAAGAAAGTTTAATAAGCACAGCACGATGATATCAGATGAAAGCTCATCTTTAGATTACAACTTGTTATTCAGTCTGTTGAGATGTTAAGACGCATTCCCTTTTGAAAAAGAGTTACATGAATACTTAAGTATGAACTGAATGTAATGTTTTCAGACATGCGATTGCATGTTAATTGCAAATAAATTAAAATTAATTCTAATTTACTTTTATATGAAACACACTAACTTCAGAGTGTTTATGGAAATATACTATGGAAGTCAATGGCTACCGTCAACTGTTTGGTTACCCATGTTCTTCAAAAAATCTTCTTTTGCATTCAGCATAAGAAAGAAACTCATATAGGTTGACGGAGTGACGTGGGAGAGTAAATGATTTTTGGGTGGTTTTTGGTTGAACTATCTCTTTAAGGAATCATAATTTTCAGTGAAAATGTATTTTATTTCCAATCTGTCTCTCACATGCACAAAAAAAAAATCATAAAGTAAAACTACTTTCAAGGTGATTTTTGCCCTTTTTGGCAATTTTCAGGTTATGGTAATGCTTTACAATAAGGTTTCATTTGTTAACATTAGTTAACTTAACATAAACTAACAATGAAAAATACTTCTAAAGGATTCATCAGTCTTAGTTAATACTGATTCCAACATTTACTAATACATTATTAAAATAAAAAGTTGTATCTATTAATGCTTTTTAAGGACCTGAGCTAACATGGACTAACAACAGTTGTAGTTTTATTAACTAATGTTAACAAAGATTAATAAACACAGTAACAATGTATTGTACATTGTTAATTCATTTTAGTTAATGCATTAAATATTGTTAACAAATGGAACCTTTTAGTAAAGTGCTACCAAAAATTCTTCAGAATTTCTACTTTTGTGTTTCTCTTGAGGAGGAAGAGGATGATTGAATTTTCACTTTTGATTGAATGCTGCCTTTAAGGCCAGAGGTTCATGGCCCGTTTACTGTGGTGAAGTTTAGCAGCCGATTCTAGATCAGTGTGTTGGTCAGACGGCTGTGATAAGCGCTCATAACGCAGCTCTTATCAGTGATGGCGTGGCGGCCGCTGGCAGAATGGCAGTTCTGGGTTTCAGCAAGTTGCAGTTTATCTCTGTCTGACGCTAATGAGCCATTCATGAGTCAGGCTATGGCCGGCCGGCTCGAGAGACCTGATGCTTCAGAGACAGGATGCGTCCTGAGGGACTCAGGACAGACAGAGACACAGACAATCACAGAGACACTGGGAGGGGAGCGACAGCCACCCACAAAGTGTCTTCTGTGTTCTAGTCCACAGTTTATTTGTAGCACTTCAAAGCTTACAGCCGTGATAAGAGATGGAGAATCACCAATTACAATGTTAGAAGGAACATAAAATCAACATGAATATCAAAACTGATATCATTTATTTTCTTAAAATGTACAGTTCAAATGTTTGGAGTCAGTAAGATTTTTCTTGTTGTTTTAAGAAATTAATACTTTTATTCATCAAGGACTTGATAAAATCAAGCGTAGTGTTAGTTCTGGCAGGTCACGTTAGTCAAGCTTGCATCAGCTGACTCTCAGCTGATCTACGTCTACCTATAGGAATATGATGCCCATCTCAGCATTCATATAGAAGGTCCCTTCAGTATTCCGCGTTGCTCAATAGCTAATTACCCTCCTCCATCCCCAGCTCCTCCTGGCCTTCTGATTCTATTTTGAATCAGACTAATTTCTAAAAATGTGTGCATTAAATTATTGAACATTAATGCTATCTGCAATACATTTATGTTGGTTCTGCTCTGTTTACATAGAGGGTGGGTTATTGCTGCTCTCCCTGCTCTTATCCATTCCCCCACTCCATACTGTATGCTAATTGTCAATCATCTTTGACGATAGTGGTCTTGACAGAATTGATCAAAAGTGTCAGTAAAGACATTTATAATGTTACAAAAGATTTCTGTTTCAAATAAATGCAGTTCTGTAGAACTTTCTATTCTTCTGTGAATCCTGAAAAATAAAATGTATAACGGTTTCCACAAAAAATATTCAACAATAGGATGACCAGAACTAAAAAAAACAAGAATGAGAAAAAAAGCTGGCAGTCAGAAGAGGAAAAAAACAGATTGTTAATTGGGAGTGCGAGATAGAAATCGGTCTCCATGCGGTCGCGTCACCGGGTCTCACTGCCACCCAGACCAGCCGGCGGTCCTTCAGCGGGCGGAAGTGCCTCATTTAAACACTACACGCCATATTTAACACGGGGATTTTTTTCCTGTTACCATCATTGTGCTTATTCACTGAGGAACTGTATGTCTCTCTCTCTCTCTCATGCTGTCTGTGCGGTGCAGTAATGATGGTGCTGCGGCGGGAATATCAGGTAGTTACACAACAGCTCCTGTCTGTTCCTCTTCCTGAGGATGTCAGATCCACTGCTTTTCTGTGGATTACAGCCGCTAACAACCGCACAAGCAATCTCGGGCTCTGTCCTGCACTTAAAAAACACTAAAGAGCCGCTGTCTTCCTCTCTGATGACCGACAAACCGACTGACCCTCTCAGGAGTGAGAAAATCATGAGAAACTGCTGAGCAGTTAGTATTTCCAGTAAAATGCAAAGTGAAAGTACAAGCAAAGCGAATCACTGGCATAAGGTACACACTGGAAGCAGAAGTATGAATAATGCCGTCAGCTATCATTCAAACACGCAGGAGAAATCAGATGATTCTGTGTCTAAAGCTTCATGTCTTCTCTCTAACAGGATCCTGTGTTTATTCCCAGACATCAAGACATCAGTGACCAAAACATAACACGTGGCGCTTGAATAACAACAGAGCAAACAGATTGACTCAATCTCAATGAGTCAAAGGCTTTCAGTAAACAGTAAGATCAAGAATATGTCCTTCACACTGGGCCTTTACAAAGAGCATCTTATATTTCGTTTGAAAATTTTGACCTTTAAACTATAGGCCAAAATAAAAAGGTTAAATTAATGGAAATGTAGAACTAATTGCTATTTGTTTTCACAAAAATCTGTCTCACAGTTGACTACATATTTGTGACCCTGGACCATAAAACCAGTCTTAAGTCGCTGAGGTATATTTGTAGCAATAGGCAAAAAAAACATTGTATGGGTCAAAATTATTGATTTTTCTTTTATGCCAAAAACCATTAGGATATTAAGTAAAGATCATGTTCCATGAAGATATTTTGTAAATTTCTTACTGTAAAAATATTAAAACTTAATTTTTGATTAGTAATATGCATTGCTAAGAACTTCATTTGGACAACTTTAAATGTGATTTTCTCAATATTTTGATTTTTTTTTGCACCCTCAGATTCCAGATTTTCAAATAGTTGTATCTCGGCCAAATATTGTCCTAATAAACCATACATCAATGGAAAGCTTATTTATTCAGCTTTCAGATGATGTATAAATCTCAATTTCGAAAAAATAAAATTGACCCTTATGACTGGTTTTGTGGTCCAGGGTCACATTTTGGCCTACATTAAATCGCCAATACTGTAAATTTCTCCTTAATATGAATAAGACAGCCTAACATATCATCTTCATAATTAAATTCCGATATCTTTCACTGTCAGATAATCCATACACACTAAAGAAATAGTAACATCCAAATTAACTGGCTTTAAGCAGTACAAACCATTACAAAATGCACATTACATGTCATTTGTTAAATTATAATGCCCTTTACCTATTAAAATTGGTGAAACGACAATCTAATATCTATAAAAACCTGGGGTGCACTTACTTATATATATATATATATATATATATATATATATATATATTTTTTTGAGTGTGT